TATCTTGTTATTTTTTTAATATTTCGTAAATGATTGAGATATGCGATATAATCTTGTTATTTTTTTAATATTTCTTAAATGATTGAGATATGTGATATAAATTTAATATAATTATTATAATTTTAAAATTTTAAAATATTGATTTTAATGGTTAATTATTAATTATATTAAATTTATATTTTATATGTCTCAATCATTAAATATCCTCATCACTTTTCTATAAATATATAAAATTTGTGTTTTGTAATATAAATTGTAATATCATGTAATAATTTTTTAATACAAAAAAGTATTACATGGTTTGAAATTTTAATTATTAAATACGAGTGAATTTGTAAAATTATAAGTTTAGTTATTTATTTAATAATTTATTATACTTTGAATTATAAAATAACAAATAATTTTCAATATATATAGAGTTTTTTTTATTAATTTTAGTATCTAATAATTACATTAAACTTTAATTAATTCACAATCAAATTACATTAAATTTTATAAATTTTTTTGTTTATTTTTTTTATTTATAAAATTTAAAATTAAAATTTTATTTTTAAAAAATTAAATTTTTTTCATTCAATCCCATCAAACATTTATATATATAATTTTTTTTAATAATATTATTTATTTTATAATATAATATAATACCGGCGGATAATAATTTGTTCACTATAGATATATGTACCAGAAAAAGAAAGGATTGATGTGCCACACAAACCACCAAGAAAATATACGTTCTTGACTCTTTCTCTCCTATGGAGGAGAGAGAGAGAGAGAGAGAGAGAGAGTGTGTGTGTGTCATTTCCTGTCTCTATCAATTCTTTTGTCCCCAACTGATCTGAGTCCTTTTCTTTTATTTACTGTGGAGGGGACATTTCTTTTCTTCCTCTCTCTTCATATTGTCTCTGCTGTTTTTAACTGCTGAAGCTCTCCTCAGACTGTAGATTTCAGGGTCGGAATTACTTTCTCCGATAATTTGTATTAATTATTGGGTTTTTTTTGTTTTTGTTTTTGTTTTTTTTCTTGGCAAAGTTAAGTGCTTTTGAGGACTAAGGGGGGCAGAGTGAAGATTTTTCTCATGTGGGAGTGCTCAGTTTCAGATGTCATGATTCCTGGTACTGTCTCCTTCTCTCTACATTATGGAATTTTGGTTTTAATTTTTGGTTTGTTGGGTATGAGATAGAAGAATAACTGACGTTCAGATCCCTTACTTTTTCTTTTGATCAATACTTTGTGTTTGTTTTTGTGAATGTTTGGTCCTCTATCTTAGGAATTGAAACAAGTCTGTGCAGAATGCTGTGTAGTCAAATTTGCTTCTTTTTTTCCAATGCATACTGGGAAGTAATTTTTTTCTTTTTTGGGCTAGAAATATATCTGATGGTGGATGATATGAGGTTTTATCTTAGACTATATGCCTTTCTTATGTTGAAATCCCAGATGGGTTAGCCTCAATGATTGTATTACCTCTTTATAACCAGCATTTGTCTAGGGAAGCTTTATGAGGAAGGAGCATGAAGTACAGTTGAAACATCCTTTCAAGACTTTGATATTCCCAAAGATGGAGGATTTCACCTGATATAATGTGTTTATTCGTCAAATTATTAAAACAAAATGTTGATGCTAGGAGATTTTGATCGGAATTCAGTGCAACTATATACTGATTCCCCTAGAGAGGTTTTCAAGCAGACAATGCTCCAGCAAGAGATTATATTTAGAAATCAGGTAAGAGAACATCTTGTTGTCTAAAACATTAGAGTTCATCCATAAGCTCTGATATCTTGTAAAAAATGTTTCCCTTTGATCTCTCTGCCTTTTTTGCATCTGAAATTTGGGATTTTTGCGTATTTTCTCGCTGCTGCTCAAAGACTTCAACTAAATGACTTTCTATATTTTGCATCTATGTTCCTTGTAATGGCTTCTTTTAAATGATCAACCATCAGGGTGCCATGCAGAACGCTATGTATATGAAGGGATCGTTACTCTTAACTCCTCCAACTTAAATGCTTGCCTTTATTTTAATTGATTTTACAGGTCCAGGAACTACATAGATTGTATGGTATTCAGAAGACCATAATGAAGAATATTGGCTCTCAGAAGCTTGAAACTTACAGTTCAAGCGCAAGTGCACAACCACTGGGGACTAGATTTCCCTCGAATTCCATGGACTTGGTAAATATAAAAACCAACTCTAGGAATATGATAAAACTGACCTGTGACACGGATTCAGGATTCAGGAGGTTTTCAGTTAATTAAGTATCCATTTACACATTTTATAATTTTATCTTGGCATAAATCAAAGACTTCTGGAAGTTAGTAATACTTTCTGAAAGTATAATTTGGAATACTATGTAATCAAAAGCAATTAGTGCTACAAGGCAACTATGATGAAAAGGGTTATTGCTTTTGCCTGCATTCACTGTAACTTTACTTCTCCTTTTAGGAAGTGTTTATGCACTGGTAAAAATGATGGGTGGTACGTAACTTCTTTTGATGGCTGACTTAATAATTAAAACGCTTCTCTCTTTTTCTTCTTCTTCTTCCTCTTTTTTTTTTTTTTCCCTTTCTGTGTTTTAATAATGATTTGAAGTTCCATCATGTTAATACTAAGGTCGCCTTTCAGGTTGGCTTGAGAGCACCTGTAGGCCAGGAATTTCTTGAAGGGTATGCAGGAAATTACCATAATTCTAAGCCAAGGCCTCCAGATCTTCAACTTTTGGCTGATCAGTCTGTTAGCCATGTTGGCAATGGAAACACTGGGAATCACCTAACAGAAATTCCAGATTTGAACTGTCCTCATCAAAGTAATGGTTCAGATGTACTAGAGTTGAGGCTTTCCCTGAATCTTGAAGTGGATAACAGGAGAAAGGAAAATACTAGAACAACATGGTTTAACCAGAAAACCAGTTCCTGCTCTCCAATTGTCATTGATTTGGAAGAATCAGATGAGATGATATCAATTGACGATGCAAGACATGGGCCTCTTGATTTTGCTGCTCCTACTACTTATTTTGGAGGACAGCATGATTCACAGGTTAGCATCACATCTGACCCATTCATCTTTGGAGGCATGAAGAAAGATGCTTCTCATGTTGTAGCAAATATGGAGAAAAGAAAATCCAATCAGGACAAATGTTCCACACAAGGTACTCATAACTGAACCATTTGAGACTCGTTGCATCTTCACAGGAGTGAGAGTGATTCCAGACTTATGGTTGTTTGAATTTGAGTGTATGTTCACTTATATAATTTAGCTTTTATTATTGCTCTGATTTACAGGATATGTTGATTGCCCTGGTAATGCCCACAACAATCTGTCTGCTTGGAAGCAGCCTTTGATTTCATGTGAAGTTGGGCGTATTGACCTTAACAAAGTTCAGCTTGATGACTTGTCTTGTTTCTCCAATGATCCTGTGGTGGCCCACCCTTCAACTGCCAGCTCAATAGGTGATTTTAATAGACCATTCACTGCAGCTCAAGATCCCTTTTGTCCAACAACAATTGAGGGAAAAGTGATGAGTAAGATCTCTAGTGAAACAGTTGCTATTTGTCAACATGATGATGATCTAAGTCCTGCTTCGGTGAGTCCCAAAAGGGAAGATAACAGAACAGATATTTTGGTTGGAAATGCCAAAATCGATGGAATATGGGAAGGCGGAGTGAGTCTTAAAGAACTTAAATCTGTTTCTAGGGCCCAAATAGACCTATGTGAAGACATTGGCAATAGCAGCCAGAGTAGCAATGAAAATGACAACTCTATAGTGGAACTCCAAAACTGTTTTGTGCATGGTACCAATCCTCAAGTAAGATGTGAGAAGGCTGAAGCAGATGATACAGTATTATGTTCTGATCAAAGCCAAATTACAGTTGAAGAACATGGTAGCAATTCCTTTGATAAGCATTTGAGCATTGCTGTTGCGGATAATGATTCAAGCAGTGGAAAGACAATGCAATCTGGGAATCCAACCCTTCCAGCTTCAGATCAATTTTCAGGAACAAATTTTGGATCAGAAGTTGTAGAAAAATTCTTGGGTGAACAGGACCAAAAATCTTCTGGAAGCAGTGAACCGAATCCTGATTTCAACAAGAATGAGAAATTGGGGGAAGTGGATGTTCTGATTGAAGAAGCAGCTCAATCACTTATCAAAATCTCCATGGAGAATTCAGCTTGCAATCAAAATCTTTCAACAAAGGCAGTGTCCAATGAGATGGAGAATGAAGAGGAGCAGCCACAGTGTTCTTTTGACTCTTATGAGCTACTTGCTCTGAAGTTAACTGAAAGCAGTGCAGATGACTATTCTGTGTCATCAAAGCCATTTGAGCTCAGTGACTCGGAGAGAAAAGATTTTAGTTGCAAGTTAAGAAGAGGAAGGAGATTGAAGGACTTTCAAAGGGACATACTTCCTGGCCTTTCATCTCTTTCTCGACAAGAAATTCGTGAAGATATAAACATCCTGGAGGCAGTGTTACGATCAAGAGAGTATAAGAAAATGAGATCCAACGTGGAAAATGCAGGAAGTTGGTCCACACCAGTGAGGAGCAGAAGATCAAGGGTCAATTATGGTGGAAGAAGAAAGTGTAGATAACAACAATGACATGGAAACTCCAGAACTGTTATTCACATTTCTTTAACTGCAAATAGTCTTCAAGCTTTTTTTTTACTTATTTTTAGATACATTTTGCCTACATTGTGAGATGATTCTATCTGCTTTTCTCTTTAGAAAATGATTAGTTATTTTCTCAAAGTAGCATTTGACACAATTTGTTCTAGGTAAGAATACAACTGTTCGTGAGGGGTTTTTTTTTTTTTTTTGGTGTGTGTGATGACACTGGAATTTCAGTTAGAAGAGGCATGTTATAAACTCCATATGCGGGCGATTTGCAAAGTTACAATAGTTTTCAGATGCAGGATGAAGACAGAATCATATAGAAGGTAGTGTGTTTCCAGTACTCAGAGGACAAACTAAGTTATCCTTTTGGTGGTCCATACGTTATCTGCTGAAGATTTTTTTTTTTTTTTGAACGTGCATCATCAAAACATCAATTACCGGATATCATCACGGGAATCCAATGAGGACAATCCCAGAAATCTGATGTCATCCTACAGTACAGATTGATAGATTTATTGGAGCATTGGTCTCATCAAATTACTAATAGAATAGTAGCAAAACAGTATAACCTTGACAAAGTTTCGTGTGTCAGTAGAAGTAAAAGGCACTAAAGACCAGTCTTGAGTTAGAGCCCGGAAAGGAGGAAGTCTAACCACAATCGTTTCCTTTAGCATGCATAAACAACGAAGGAGTAGAAGCAAGGGCACCAAAGACCAGTCCTGAACTAGGGCCCAGGAAAGGAGAAAGTCTTGCATACAATAGGGATACCACCACGTTTTAGATGCATATGTCATATCCTAATAAATAAATCGTTGTCATTTCAATAAAATTATAGATACATCAGTAGAAAACTTTTGACTTGACATGGTATTGACAGTCTATAACGATTCCGGGCGTGGAATCTGAAACCTTATGAATGTCTGTCAAGTTCTGGTTGGGGGTTACCACGTGAACTGCTGACCATGGTATCCGCTGTTGCATTGAAGAAAATTATTTTCCAATGAGTGTAAAGTTAAAAAATACAGCAGAATCAACCAATCAGGTCCAATTCCAGCAATTCAAGCGGTGACTGCCTGCAGTGATGGTGGTTGATTGGACTTGTTTTGGTGGAATAGATAGACTCATCCACAGTAAATACAAAAGGGAAGGGATTACTTTTGCATTTTTGTTTGTCCTTTTTTGCATTGTTCTCTGTATACTTTTATTCCAAATCTCAACCAAATCCTGCAGAATTATGCAGAATTGTTGTATAAAAGTTGGGCACCGTATTCTGTTTCTTCTTCTTTTACAATTCTCATCCACTAATGATGGCAGGTCCAGTTCTTGATAGGTTAAAATTCTTTTTTTTACCTTTTTATTTTAATAAGAAGTTTTTTTTTAAATTTTTTTACTTAAAAAAATTTTTGTAGTCTTTAAAATTTAAAATTCAACCCCTTTAATCCCTTTTTTTTTTTTACTCACTTATGTTAATAGAAATACCAAAATAGAAGAACTAAAAAAGAGATATTTTCAAATAGAGGGACAAAAAAGAAATTTTTTAAGTAAAGAGATAAAAAAAGAGTTAAAAAAACTCTTTTTAATCCATTTGTTTTGAAATTTTTATTATCTAATGTGTCACGTATATAAAAAATAACAAAGAGACTGAAAAGCGGTTGTCTTAAGTATAAGGATTAAAAAGAAAATTTTTATTAAAGTATAGGGACCAAAATAAAATTTTAACCTTTTTGATTCATTAGTCTTCTATCTTTTCATGACTACTACTTACGGTTTTACAGAAGCTGATGACAGCATCAATTATCAAATTCCCTTCTTTATTATTATTTTTTTCCCATTACGAACGCAGACGTTTACACTTCAGAGTACTTAAATTCTTTCTCTTTGGCATCTGGATACTTTCATGTATAATTGCAGATCTTTTCTGGTGTCTTGATGAAATACACCATGCATAACAAAAAGCAAAATCACTGGTAACTGTTATGAAGAACATAATTGCAGTTTATATATATATATATATATGTTGAACATGATTGCTGTTTGGACAAAGGAGATAAAAGGAGTTTGTAATCAAGTTTGGGGGCTAAAATTCTTGGAGGTTAAGTTTCAAACAGAACACTAAATTCCCAGAATCTTTTGTACTGATTTCCTACTAACAATCATTTCCTAGCTGACAAAGGAAAAATTAATAAATCCCTTGTCAATATGTTATCTCTATAATTGAATTCAATCTTCAGTGATCTTAATTATTAGATTTCTTTCCTGTTAAAAAACAGAATGGTGTGGCCCCATATCGTCATCTAAATCCTACGTCAAACAAAGCATATTTTCCACCATAATTTGGTCTCAGGATTAAATTCATTGTATAACAAGATGATTACTGTTGACATTGTTGTGATCCATTAACTCAACAACTCTTTCAATCTAAAGAGTGACTATTGTGTTGGTTTGCAAATGCATATGTAAACTCACAAACTTAATTTGTTAATAGTAGGTGCGCCTGGCACTTGATTGACTCGCATGTAGCATTCATCACGGCCAAGCTTTCTTTATAATCTGGAATAAATTGGGTATCACATTCGGTATGCAATAATAAATTGAGAGAGGTTTTGTTAGGTTATGTCAAGTTGTAGCTAGCCAGCTTCGCCTGATAATTTGATTGTCCCATCCATGCACATTTGGCTTTCAAGTTGTGCTGGCAACTGCTGAATTTGCCTTGGAAGCCTATTCATTTCCTCTATTTTCTGCAACCTTTATAGATACTTGTTGTTTTCATCAAATCCTATAAAGTGTAGTTGACATAAACATGCCAAGGTGGGTGCCAACAAGCTAGAGAGGCAGGGTGTTGTAAAATCTAGACCCAATCTTAAAGGTTGGGAGGCAGGACAATCAGAATGGTCCCAGTATCTGTGCAACCCAGCAGCAACTCCTTAGTCTTGACTTCAACCTTGTTAAGGTATTGGGAGAATCAATCATATTATAAATTTTACTGATTCTCCCAATACGTTAACAAACCTCTTGTTTAGTTAAGTGCCCAACAACCTCACTCCTTGCTTTTTCTCATCTACTTCTTGTTTTGCTTATCCTGTAAGAGGCTTTAATATGATATGAAAATTGAGTATGTAAACTTAACATAAAATTTGTATCCAACTTAATTGGTTTCAGGTAGGGTAGCATTCTTTATATTTAACGTGCATATTTTTTTTTTTTATATTTTTGATATAGTATTTTCTCACTCAACATTAAAAAAATTTTCCTTTCTGTTTTTCTTTCTTCTTCCCTTCTGCAAAAAGAATTCCTGCATAAGGTTGCAACATAAATAAATTGTGCATTCTCATAACCTAATCCTAAAGCACAAGGTCAGTTTCTTGTATTAGAATGTGGTATGCCAAAAAATCAGAGAAGATTCAAGATTCAAACTTTCTTTTTTAGAAATTGTTCAAATATCCGTAATAAATTCATTAAGGTAATTAAAATTTTTTCATTATCATTTTTGATATTTTAATTTTCAAAATGTCTCCCATGATCCTGTTTGGTCTATAAATAGCATGAGTATTTGTTATTTACATTACTACACAAGTATTATGGTAAGGGTAGGTGTCCAGTTACTATATAAATTTAATGCAAATGGGAAAATGATGTATGAGTTAATGTGAAAGTGATGAGGGCTGCCCACAGAATATTACAATGCAGATTTGAAAGGAACCCTTGATACACACAGATAGAGATATCTACAGAACTCTGAGGGAACTATTCCCTAGTTAGCAGGCTCCCTTGTTTCTGGGTCTCCCAAGTCTCAGCCCACTGTCCTTCCCATTACTAGTTCTTGGAATCTTTGCTGCCAAACAATTTCCCTCTTCTTCTTTAAATTAGGACCTAAAAAAGAGCTGGCTTTCAGAATCAATGCAGGTTAATTAGTAGAAGATACGTAGAATCCTCCATTGACATTTTGAAGTTGAGAAAACGAGATTTTCTACAAATTGAAATCATGATGTTGAAATTTGAATCATCACATCAACCTAACTTGACCACTAGAACTACTTACGTATCTTTTAATTTCTCTTCTCTAACTTGATGATTAAAATGTCAGTCATTTGAAAAATGAAGAGACGGTAGATGCATCATGCATGGATCGTTGCTCAATAAATTTCAAAAGTAGGAGCACAAAGGATAGGGACTTGATTGGAAGGAGTCAAAGGTAGATTCTCACCCTTAGCTATAATTTCTGCGTAATGCATAACGCATGACCAAACTAGGCTAATCAATGGAAATATACACATTCTAGAAGGAATCGGGTAAATGACATAAGGGTAAGAAAAGTTTGCCTTTTTTCATATCAAAAGCTTTCCTTTTTAACAAGGGGTTGGATGGATTGACAAAATAATGAAGGGTTTTCAATTTCATTGAATAAGAAGGGGGACAAGTTTGGGATTGAGACAAAAAGTAGAGAGAAAAGTGTACATTTTTGGAAACTGGAGGAGCGCGCGAACGAACGAGACATCCCACAGCCAAAAAGCAAGCCGCGGCTACTTATGGAGATTTAGAAGAAAGAGAGACAGACACAGAGCATACAGTCCCTGTATTGAGAGAGGTGAGAGGGCCTCGTGATTCCGCCTTTCTGTTTTTCACTTTTTTATTTTTATGTTTCTCTTTATCATTTATCGAAATCCTTTCTTTCCCCTCACTCACTCCTCCCTCACTATTTTTCCTTAATCGCTCTATATAAGTAGTACACTTCTCTCTTTCCCTCTTGCTTTCACTCAAATTTTTTTCCTTGATTTTTGGTGTGGGGTATTTGTGGGGAGAGGAGCAGTAGGAATACTTATTGTGCTATTTACTAAAGACAGATACACAAAGCAGTAGACAATGTCTGCTTACAGAGACAAAGATCCTCGTATCCATGGCATCCAAACCACCATTCGGGTTGTCCCCAACTTCCCCAAGCAAGGTTAGGACTCTCTCTCTCTTCTTTTTTTTTTTTTTTTCCTGTTTTTTAATATTATATATATACAGAAGAAATTTCTTTGTGTATCTATTCTGTCATTCATTCTGAGTTTCATGCCTCTCTTTTGGGTTTAAGATATCGCATAATCTATGGAAGTTCGTTCCATGCTTTGATGTTCCTGAAATTTTGGGTGCCGGGAGACAGGAAAAGGAGTCTTAATTCCTTTTTTTATCAGTTATTTTCCTTGAAATCAACCTTCTTCTTTTTTTGGCCTTTCGACGGTGAAATGCAGGAATTATGTTTCAAGACATCACGACTCTGCTACTGGACCCCAAAGCATTCAAGGATACGATCGATTTGTTCGTTGAGAGATATAAAGACAAGAACATTTCAGTTGTTGCAGGTAAAAAGAAACTGAAAGAGTAAAAAAAAAAGTACCTTTTCAAGAATCTTTATTTGTTATTATTATTGTTCTTGGCTGCTAAAGATTTGATCCAAAGCTTTTTCTTTATTACTATCACTTTTTTATTGGCATCAAGATGGGGGGTACATGCTTACGAGAAAGTAGGTCTTGTGGAAAGAGGTGCAGAAGGGAAAAATTCTCAAATTGTATAAGTTTCTGGGGTCTTTTTGTATGCTTTTGAGAGACATTGGAGAATGGAGGTTACTGTGTTTGACTATCTCCCTTGTTAGTGGGCTTGTCATTGATTGCGCCCTTCCTCTCCCTCTAAGTTCCTTTCCATTCCCCTTTGAGCGGCTCTCTCTCTCTCTGGGGTTCTGGTGGTGGGTTTGTGCTTAGATCAGATTTGGGAAAATGGTGGTTGGTGATGGATCATGGATGCCCACCTTGATTAAGGTGGACCCAGATGATGCCATTTTTGAATGCCGTGGGGGGTGCTTCTTTTATGATATGTGGATTTCCAATCTCTTTTCTTTTTGTGGTGCTTAGATCTCTTACCTATTGAATGACTTCATTTTCTGGCTTGCCATCTTGAATTCCCTATTTCTTTGTCACGCATTTGTTTCTTTTCTGTTTGAATTTTAGTCGTATGGGTATTTCATAGCTGAAATGTAGGAAAGTGTTATTAATAATTCTGTATTTCTTTCTCATGTATGGCGATTTTAACAAACTTTGTTTATTATCCTGAGATTATAATCTAGACTCCGTAGACTTATTAAATTAAATAAATAGAATAGAGTTCTCTCTCTTCAGTCTTTTTATTACACAGTTGTTTAAGGCTGATGATTGGATTAAATCACATGTGGGAATGACAGTTATTTATATGCAATTATAATTTGTGTGCTTTGTCCTAATGTATATGCATTAACGTGTCTCTTTTGTGCCGATGTGGACTTGTGTTGTCTCTTTGTGATTAAAGAACCTTATTATGGAATTGGTGGTCTCCCATGGCAAGTTGTTGCATTTTGTTAGGATGTAAGGATCAGTGTCATGTTGTCATCATTGGGGTTGATATTATCAAGAACGCTTATCCTACTGGGGATTGATCATGTGTTAGAACCTTATTATTATAGCATATTCGCATAGAAAATGAACCCTTCAGATTATGCATAACATTTTGTTTATTTGTTTCTCATTTCTGACAAAGTTGTTGATAGCAGCAGTAACTTCCTGTTGATAGGATTTATGTTGAGTCTAAGAAACATTTGTACTAAACTGGATTATATCAAGCGGAATCAATATGCCATTTTAACTCACCCAGGACAGTGAAGTATTTTAATTTAATCACTTGGTTGTTGTCAATATTGAAACTGGTACTATCTTTGAAACTAAAATTTTAGTGTCTAGACTCCCGCTAAAAAGCAAACAATTTATGAAGGTTTGGTTATGGTTAAAAAAAGGCATGAGAGGGGGTTGTTTCTTTGGACCTTGGAGCATCAGTTGTGTGTCTTAGCTCAAAGCTTAAGTTTCCATTTTGATTCTTGAAGTTTTGTTTATTCTCCAAGTGGGAAAGTGCTGCTTTTCCTTTTAATGGTGTGAGTACTTGGTACATTAAGAAGATGCATTAAACAAAATATAAAATATGCTTCTATTTCTAATACAAAATTTTAGATTGTTTTTTGGGTTTGTGTTAGGGCTTTGTGGGGGTATTGTAATTCTTTTACTATAACTTTTTTTTTTTCCTTAATAATTCTTTTCTATATATTGAATGTTGGATGTAAACAAATGCTAGTGGGAAAGCTAAGCTCTGAAGAGTGATTGTTATACCTCAGGGATAGAGGCTCGGGGTTTCATTTTTGGCCCACCGATAGCATTGGCAATAGGAGCAAAGTTTGTTCCCTTGAGAAAGCCCAGGAAGTTGCCAGGTAAATTTTGTCACTAGTAAGTAGTAACCTTTTTGTATGTTATTGACTTAAAGAAGCATATTGAACATTTGTGTTAATTTTTTAGCGCAGGCATTTGTACATTCTATTGTCTTATTGTTTGAAGTATAGTTTATGCTCTACAACAGAGTAGAATACCCTCCAATTGCTATGTAGAATGATAGTGCTGATGTAATGTTACACTGATTTTTGGAATGAAACTTAACTATCAATTTTGGGGCACCCAAAAGAAATCCAAACTATGACCACTCAAGATTGAATCTGCTGTCCTCAGCTGCCACCACACAGCAGATACCTAAATCTATCCTCATTCATTTGCCACCAGTCCCAACTACCAAAGAAACAAAGCAAGCCTCTTATACATACATTTTCAAGTAGGGATTCAGTGTCTAAAGCAATAGTTTTTTTTGAAGAGCTAGATACAATAGTTGATGGGATGGTGGTGCATCGAAGCATGGGATATTGTAATATGCATACCTTAACTCTCTTCACATTAATGAGGATAAAAATATGGTTCTGTACATTCAACATATTTCTCAGCCTTGTCTCTGTTCTCAACCCACCACACCCCCCCCCCCCCCCCCTTTTTTTTTTTTGGCCTTAACCTTCATCTCTGTTCAACACATGCTTTTAATGGTGGTAAGTCATTTTTTCTGTTGTTAAACTAAACATTGGGATAATTTCAGGTGAAGTTATCTCAGAACAGTATGAGTTGGAATATGGAAGGGACTGCCTTCAAATGCATGTTGGAGCAGTTGAACCTGGTGAACGTGCTTTGGTTGTTGATGATTTGATAGCAACTGGGGGCACTCTTTGTGCTGCTATGAAATTATTAGGTAATTATTAACTATTTAGGTGCTTAATTTGTTCTTAATGGGGTATAAATGAAAATGAATAAAAAGAGACAATAAGAAACCACCAAAAGAATTATTGACATACATAGAACTTCTAGTAGAACTGTTCAAGATAGATAGGGCCACCAAATGAAAAGTGAGAACTATAGTATCTACATCTGTGTCTTGACTAAAGAATTAATAATATGGGTGTAATACACTTTTTAATATGCTTTTCTTAAAGTTTACTCTAGTCTGGCTGGATATTATTTTTATTCATTATGCTGAATATTCAATCATTCATTAAAATTGTTGTTTCTCAGAACAAGTTGGGGCAGAAGTTGTTGAGTGCGCCTGCGTTATTGAGGTACCAGATTTAAAGGTGTGTCTGACAGTGTTAACCTAGTGTTCTCTTTGTTTTTAGAAACAACATAAATGATTACAGTACTTGCAATTAGACTTTGTTCTTCTTCTGTTGCTATTGTTTGTTACTCACAGAAAACTTAACTTTAATTAACGGTTGTTAGGGTCGGGAGCGCTTGAATGGCAAGCCATTGTATGTACTGGTGGAATCTCATTAATTTGAGGCATGGAAAGGGCTAACCGCTTGCCACTCTTCCTTTAGAATCTACTCTTCATTTTGATAAATCTCTGGGGATTTAAAAGACCATTGTTTCAGGTAGTAGCAAAGAATCATTGAAATCATGATATATATAAGCCCATCCTACTCTTCATTTACATAATATTGTATTGTTTTCTGGTTTTACTCAAATTTTCAACTCTAAAGGGCAACATACTATCAAAAATAAAATAGGGACAGCAATTTATTCTTCAAGTATCAGATGGTATAGGCAGGATTCAAAACAGAGTCTTGAGTTTTTCAGTTCTCATAGGAGATGTGACCATAGTTCATTTGTCAAGCTTTCAATTTTCTCTGGGGGAAGTAATGTTAAAAGATTTGTCATTGTAGTAACGGATGGGGAGAAGTTGCAGTCTAGTTTTCTTGATTTGATCCCTGAAATTAAATTTCATTCAGGTAGCAGCTTTCATTGAATTCTTTTCAGGGCAGGGTAGGTAGGCAATCAAAGCTTGCAGGCAAAATGATGAATTTTACATTTCAGGTCTCGTCACTTTTCAGTTAGTTATAGACTAATTTTAGAAAAATAAAAAATAAAAAATAGGACTTTGTGGCTTTTAAAATGTCAAAATTATTTGTAAAATTGTTTAAATACATTAATAATTTTTTTTATGTGTCGATTCTATTTAAATTGGTTAAATGTTAATTTTAGTTTTTTAACTTTAAGATTTTACATAATTTTTAATTTTTAAATTTTTATATATTTTTTTAATCTCTTAACTATGAAAAATATAATTTTTTAGTCATTTTGTTAGTTAATTTGTTAAGTCTATTTAAATTTGCATATTTTTAATTCTTCAATATGATGAAAAATGTGCATATATTAGAAGTTGAATGACTAAAAATGTACATATTTAGATATATTTAATGAATTAATTGATTAAAAAAACACATTTCTCATGGTTAAGGGACAAAAAAATGTGCAAAAAAAAAATTGAGAGATAAAAATTGTGTAAAATCTTAAAGTTGAGGACGAAAATTGGCATTTAACCATTAAAATTTTTGCATTATCATTCTTAATATTTTAGGCTCCATTTAAATTTTGGTTGACAACATTTGTTCGATGCTTTACTTTTTGATTTTTATATATCTTTTTGTTATTTTAAAAATATATAAAATATTAATTAAAATAAATATAAAATATATTTTATATATTTTTAAGATATCAAAGGATTAAAAAACCTACCATTGCAATTGCAAATTAGCATTGTTAAACTAACCCTTACTATAATTATGGTTTTGAATTTTTAATTTTGATTTTGAAAATCAAGAACTCAAAATTATAATTATACTAAATGAAACATTAATTATCATAATGTTTTAATTTTGTTCAATCTCTCTCTTTCTTTTTTCTAATGTAATAATTAGATATTAAATTTTAAACTATAATTAAAAGTATACTAATTTAAACTAATTTTTCTATTAGACCATGGTTGTTATAGATTCTATTACATATTAGATAAATATTATTACTTGCTACGTGGAGTGCCTGTGTCATATAGAAAGTGAAAGTGTTTGAATTCTAAAGTGTAAGAAAAAGTGTTGCTAATACTACCCTATTTCCTAGCTAAATCCTATGTTTATAATCCACAAGACCAGACAAAGGTAGGTATTTAAGGTTTTTTCAACAGACAATCATCGCCACAACTGCCGGTTGCCGGGGCTGCTGGTATTCACAACGACCATCATCAATGATCATTTCCATTCTCATCTCTTTTTACCCCTAGTCAACAAATTTGAAAGACATGCCCCCAATAGATGACCCCACTTTAAGAAACGCTAAAATCACGCTTAATATGTATACCCAAAAAAATAATAATAATAAAGATTAACCCATTAGTATGCATTCAATTTAGCATTAATAATAGAATTTTTTAATTTATATCTTTAAGATGTAAATTGAAAGTATAATTATTATATTTTTTTATTAATTTATATAAAATAAAAATTAATTTAAATTTTATTAATGGTTTAATTAAATTATTTAATATGATATTAATATTAAAAATAAAATTTATTTTTATAATTTTTTATATAAATTATTACTAATAAATATATTCTTAACTTATACTTATTAAAAAGACCCTTAATAATATTATAATTATAATATTATATATGAGTAAATTTTAAAATAAAAAATAATTATATTATGTAATATTATAATTATATTATTTTTTATTTAATATTGATCAAACTTTTTTTTTTTTACAAGGGTAATGATTAGGAAATTAGTTTGAATTAGTTGTTAACAACTGAAGATTCGATCTCCAGAGCGGATGAACATTCCATTCTCTCAAATGAGGCACGCGGCCATCGGATTGTTTTTTAGTGGAGTTCATGACGGTAATAGAGCTCGAAATTCCGACTACCTCACCTAAGTATTTAAGTCTTGGGGTTGAACTATTGGACCTAAAAGCACGATTCATTGATCAAACTATTATGGCATTGTTGTAGAAATAAAAAAGGAACCAAAAAAATATGTGTTGATAAATGCAATACAAAAGATTCACACATCATAGAAACAAAAATAAAAGATGTGGAGAAAAAAAAAAAGAGAGAGAGAGAAAGAAAGAAAGATATTTTTGCACTATTTTTACAATTTGTAAATAATAAGGAAGCAAGGCAACACCGCGCGTGGGTCAAACACGA